GAGTAAAAGAAAATGCTTTGTACTTCACTTCAGAGCAGCTTTCCCATTTTGCAAAACTGGCTCCGACGCGGCAGTAAGCCTGCAACGTGAAGGCTGCAGTTTCATAGCCCGTCACAGAGAGGCAGCATGCTCACATCGCTACTGTTAGGTTTCCCTGTTGGTTAAAGACAGGGCTGAGTCAGAGCCCGCTCTAGCTGGGCAATCAGCAGAAACTTTGGCTTCTAACACTGGAAAAGCCTCTTCTCTTACTAATGAATTGAACAAACCTCCCAAATTGAATGGCCTTCCTTCTGATAAATTGGAGCAGCTTGCACTCCAAACGGAGAATTACATTTCCATGGCCTGTGCCCATCTGCAATTCTGACCTTGTGCCTTGTCTTTGGTTTTGTCACACTGGGCAGGCATCTCCAGGGACAGATCCAAAGTAGGCGCACCTCCCTTTTCGACTGTACGGGGGGGGCACAGCAGCCAGGCGCTTGTTTTAAGTGCCCGAGGCAGGTAGGAATCCGGCCCCTGTCACGTCTACTCCACAGCTTGCAGGTTAGGGCACTGTCCTGGGATTTAGGTGGCATGAGTTCAAATCCCCTGACTCTGGGAAGGACAAGGGGACTCAAACCCAGCTGTTCAATGTCCTGGGCAAGCGCTATAACCATTAGGCATTTTACAGAAGATCAAGATCCTGCTGCTATCTGCTGCCTGCCTGCTCAGGTTTGCAGTCCTAAGACGCGTGTGACTTCTGCAGCTGGGAGCAAAAGGGATTCAGGGTAGACAGAGGCATCTGAACACAGGTTAAAAGTCCCCTCTGAATGACTGGAGACTCACGTCCCTGCTGCAGAACTAAGGATGGGTCTCTGGCGGTGTCCAAGCGCTGTCCATTGGAAGTATAACATGCCTTTGCACAGGCAAAGAAGAACGTCTCCCTGATTCTGGCTGTGCACATAAGGACTTTGCCAGGAGCCACACCGCAGTCACTGAATAGATGAAGCAGGATTTGGCCCCAAGCGCACTCAGTCCTCTGAGTCCTCGGCCCTCTTCAGGGTCAGGACTCAAGAGTGTGGGCTGAGACCTTCCAAACAGGGGAGCGAGGAGTCAGGGGACCGCAAAGGCCTCCCGAGAACCAGCTGTTTCCCAGCTCCTTTGGTCAGGAGATTCCCCAGCCCCTATTGCCCCTGCAGGGCCAGCCTGGGGATCCCATACAAGAGCAAGACCATCCCTCGCACGAGGCAGGAGGGAAGGAGTTAGGCCACAAGCTCACTCCTTTCTCCTGCCCGTTCTCCCCTTGGGACCACGCTGCCGGGGATAAGCAGAGTCCCACTCACAGCGCAGGTTTCCAAGCCTTTGGCGCCAGCTTTGTGGACCTGCTGCCTAGCGATGATCTTCCTGCACCCTCCTCCCACCAGCCAGTCACCAGAGCAGCAGCTGCTGTCCAGGCACTCGCAAATCCAAGGGCAGGATTACGCCTTCAGGTTGCTGTTTCCTTCTTGCCCTTTGCAACCGCCGGCTCACGGAGCAAGAACCCTTCAAGCCACTTCCCAGCTGGCTGAACCAACAGAGAGGTCTGGTGGGGGCTGGCGGCCTCACAGCTAATGATCTGAGTAAATCAGTCTCCGTTTAGACCGATGGGAGGTGCCAGTGCTGGAAAACAAAGTAAAAAATATATGTACATCACTTACGTGCACACACTCCTATTTCGTACCTAGGTCTGTCTCCGCTGTAGTCACAGTACAAGCCCCTGTGGAAGTCGCAGGTGTCGGCTTCGGTGCAGTTCTCCCCGACCTGCTTGGCGCACACCTTGCAGCATTCGCAGCCATCTGTGACCAAGCTAACCCCTCTGGGACAGCGAGGTGGCAACTTTGGGCACTCACATGGCCACTTGCAATACTGAGTCCTCGTGTAAGCCTCTGTCACAGTGGAGATGGTGGGGGGCATGGTGGAGGGCTGGGAAATGGCCTGCAAGCAAACAGAGGAACAAGGTTTGCAGTGCCTTCAGGAAATGCTTTGAAATCTGCACTGACTGGCCAGGAACCAACCCCTTCACGATGGGAACAGAAGGCTAACTCCAAAGTACCATTGCCCATTCAAAGAGTACCACGTCCCTTTGGTGGCACAACCTCCCTCCCCAGCCAGGGGGGAAAGGACAGCAATTGGGGTCAGCCTCCAGACCCCAATTGCCAGCCTGGGACATGTCCTCTCTCCAGCTGGACTCATTCCCCATTTAGTAGCTAGGGAAAAAACCATCCAGGCCAGAAATCCCCACCCGATCCACATGGTCTGAAACTCCGGAGCCTGCTATGCTGAGCAGGGCACGCACAAATTGCCTCTTCTAGTATCGCAACACATTCGGTTGCAAATCTGATCAGACCAGAAAGTGATAGGGAAAGAGCTGCGTTTATCAGCAGCAGCAGGTATCCAGACTGTTAGCTCCTATTTTATCAAGCTGGTTCACCCCTCCCTAGTGCAAGTTTCTAAGCTCCCCCCACCCCCAGCCAGGCCCCAGGTTCCCAGATCCTAGCAGCTTGGTTTCACTTCCGTGGTATTTTGGTGTTGGTTAACCTCAACAATGCATACTTACTCTCAGCAAAATGTGATTGAGATGTATCCACCCTTTTCCATATCAAAAACACAATCTACACAGCAAACATGACCTCTTGGGATCTAGAGCAAAATGATGTGGCTATCACAACGGTATGTCCATTGGTGATAAGCCCTTAATATTCCCACGCTAAACAGTTCTTGCAAGACTGCCTTGCTCGCTCTGTCTCACTCTTCTGACATAAGGTCCAGAATTTGCTGTGGGGACAAGAAAGCAGGGATCTGCTACCTCAGCCTCTTGGCACATATTTCAGTACCCTGCAAATGGTTCCTGTGAGATCTGCAAGTCTGATGGGTGAAAATGAATATTTAACCCTTCTAACAGCCAGCCTGAGGTTGGACACATCAGCTTTCTCACATAGGAAAGAAATGATGGCAGAGAAGAGGTGAATAAAACAGCTTAAGGCTGCTCCAATGAGTACATCGTGCTTTCTCATTACAGCAATGCATTCACGTGCCACCAAGCTGCGATGTGACGTGATCGTTTAAATACAAGACAGGGCTTCCAGTCACTAAATGTATTCAATCTAATCTGTTAAAAGGTGGAAGATCACTGCCCTGATACCTAAGGCTGAATCCGCAAAGAGTTCACAACAAAAGGTTTGTGCTGGAAAAATTAAACTTTGAAAGAGTGATCACCTATGGTCCATCCTGGCCCACTCTTTTATGGCCATTTTATGACAAGTAGGCTGCATCTGATATTCGCTGTCACTGGAAACCTTTAATCACAATGATCTCCTTGAGCTTTCTTCTCTACAGAGGACCAGTTCTGCCACACAGTCTGTAGTAGTTTACAGCTGAACTGTCACAGGATGGATGTATTGAACTATTGGCAACTTTGCCTAACATTTCCATATTCCAGCCATCCCGCTGGATAAGAAAGTCTGTACCTTTGGGCTATGCTTCGTCACTTGGCATGGCTCCAGGGCTTGCTGGCTGTAGCCGGTTACCATCACAAGCATCTTATTGGTGTCTGCCTGCCCGGGTCTCTTCTGTTTCACTGCCACCGGCTGCAACTTTGCACAAACTTCTCCCAGAGATGGACAAATGCAATGGCTCTGGGGTGCCCAGCGGCATCTAAGCTCAGCCACTCATGCCGCTCCACACACACCTTCTAAGCAGCTCCACATTCATGGTGCAGGCACAAGAGGACTTGTGCCCATACTTGGGCAGGGACTTGTGTCTAGCATAATCCCTGCCCAAGCAGTCTTCAAAGACTGGACCTCCAACAACCTCTCAAGAAAGACTCTCCCCTAGCCTAACACCTCTTTACTAGGGTCTTTTCTGTTGGAGTCAAACCAAAACTTCCCTCACATGGCATTACTTCATGTGGACCACCCTATGCTATTTCAGCCCATCGTTGACCAAGCCTTTCATTGTTTTGGAAGGGTTGCTTGCTAGCAATCTCAGGATTTATTAACAGTCTTGTAAACCCATTGCAGAAACATGTGAATTTATATTTAACTACCTTAACAGACAGTTAAACTTACCACTAACCATTATCAGTATTTGCAATATTTGCTACAATTCCCATTTCTCCTAAGGCCCCTTTCAGGCCAGCCTTACATTATATTTAAACCCATACAAAATATAATTCATTCCCAGTTTAAGGCCACTGTAAGGCCCCTAAGCACAAACAAAATAAAGCAAACCCTTTATTTTTAATATCATTCATTTCAACCCCCATTATTTTGTTATGTGCGGCAAGCTGTTGTCTAGTGAGAGAAAGATCCTTCAAATGAGATCAATCTCTTTGCTTGACTGTTCATCGTTAGAAGTATTTTAATGACCAACTCTAGCTACAAAACCCAGTTATGCAGCTATTTAATGAGTCCATTATTGCAGCATAGCTCTATAAAGCAAATGGATTTGCAATGACTGTTGCCAAGTTATTGCTGATCTGGACAGGAACGAGTGAGCGGGTTGGCTGAAAAAGCTTTCGTCCTCTGTAGTACAGAACAAGATCAATATGTTGCAAAAGGGGGAAAAAAATCACAGCCTCCCTCGGCACTTGATTCTAGTTCATAGAAGTCAATATTTATGGTTTGCTGCACACCTACTGTCGCGGAGCACAGCACTTTTGGGGGAAACTCTGCCTTGGGACATATCAAGAAGGAGCCTTATTTAGACTCCTTCTCCTAAAGGATCCCCTAAGTCAGCCATGACATGGCTTCACAAGGGGCAAGCCTCTGGCTTTGAGATCCTGGCTCTTCTCTGTCCCCAGCTTCCCTGAACCACTGGTCGTTCAGTTTTTAAAAGAGGGAGGGATGTGACAAATAAAGCTAAGTGGGCTGAGTCCTAGCCCACCGGTCTGGTGGGAAACGCTATGGGGGCTCAGTGGGAGGAAAGACAGAGGGAACTATGGTGCACAGTCAAGACTGTTTGGAGTAGAGCTGTCTACTGTGCTATTTGGGACATTGGCACCCTGCCCTCCCCTTTGAAGAAGAAAACACCCCCCTTCACACATACTGCCAGACATCCCTCAGCTTTGTCCCCATATTTTGATTTAAACAAAAAAAATAAAATAAACCACAACATTATCGGCTACATGGGGTTTCAGGAATTATGTTGTTCAAGTGCCAGTACATCCCCTGTTCAAAGGATTGTGTTGCAGAGAGATGCGAAGACAGAGATGTAGGCTTAGTACAAACTCTCCAAGTGCCGAGTCTTGGTCAAGTATACTTCTGAAGGGCAAAAAGCAATTTCTGCTTTGGAATCATCCGCTCCCCACCACCAAGTTTCAATAATTAACCTATTTTGTATGATTACTCCCAAATGACTTAGCCTGGGAATTTGTCAACTTGGATGCAGAGTAAGAAGTAATTGCTAATTATTTATGAGGTCTAATCCTCTGTCTTCCGGATTGCCGGCCTGTGTTCCTGCGCTGAAAACAAGGCCTTTCTTGCCTGGTAAAACAAGGCCTTTGAGCCTGGTAATTCTGTCTCAGTCACTCAAGTTGTATTTGGCAGGCTCCAAAAGGGTCTGCCGTTTGCACTTGTGGAGGGTAATATATCTCCACCAAACAAAAGCCAACTATTTTCTGTGTTTGCATTGCTACGAGGGGGAAAAAGAGAAAATAACAAATGATAGTCTTGGTCATAACCTCAGTATTAATAACAGCCCTGCATTTTTGTGCAAATCTTACAGACATCAGGCAGAGGGCAATGGTTCAGGGGTGTTTCTTACATGCTGGCAATGTTTTTTACCAGTTCCCTAGGAAGCACTGTTATTGTAAGTCTGTTTTATTTCTGAAACTCTGCAAGTCCACGTGATGGTACTGAAACTGCGGAATAGCTTGGCTTTCAAATCTAAAGCAGAAATGCTAGTGTGTTTGCATACAGGATAGAGAGGCACCTCCCAGCTTCAGTTTTTTTGGTTATCCAAGTCCCAGTGTCTGGAAACTGGGATGTAGGTGGTCCTGCTAGACACCCAAAGCATGGATGCAGCTCTGACTGGTTCCCCAGGCAGCTGGGAGTATAGAGGGGCCTGGCATTAGCACTGGATTTGGGAGCCATAGCCAAAGTCAAAGCAGCCAGGAGCAAAGCTGTAGACAGAGACTGGGTAAACTAGGATCACAAACCAAAAGCTAAAGCTGAAGGTTGAACAAGAAGCAAGAGCTGAGAACCAGAATCAGGGATCGGCAAGGGTCATATCAGAATTGGAGCCAGAGAAGCAGCCAGGAAGCAAAGAGATCAGGAACAAGTGCTGTCACCTTTGCGTGGACAAGGAGCCTGCGGGCTGGGCCTGCCTTTGAAAGGGTGGAGCAGGTGGCGCCCACTGCCTGCGGCTCAGGGGGTTGGTTGCTGTTTGCCTCACTCAGCCCAGCTGGGACCAGTGCGCTGCTCTGGGCTTGTCCCAGGGATGCCTTGCTCTGCTTTCTTGACTGGGACCAGCTGGGTCCAGGGGTCTGGTCTAGCCTCATTGCACGCAGGTTATTGCATTAGAACTCAATAGTTCTCAGTTGTTAGCGGTTTTTAAATCCACTTTATTAGCTGCATTGTCCTGGAAGGATCTTGCTCCGAAAGCTTTGGTCTGTCCTCGAGTGTCTCTTAGAGGTGGGCTTACCCCAGGGGTATCAAATTCATCTAGCTCCAGGGGCAAGATAAGGAGCATGGGGCCAGTCCACAGGCCAGATCAGACCTGCAGACTTGTCCTGTGCATGGCATGCATGCAGTGAGCAGGCCGGATTGGCCCCTCAGACCACATGTAGCATGTGCGTTGTGCGCCGTGTGCAGCGCAAGTCGGATCCAGACCAATCCAGCACACGGGGCCATTTTGGCACACACTGCATGTGGCCTGCAGGTCCACAGGCTACATCAGGGTTGGGCAAAATGCAGCCCTCGGGCCAGATGCAGCCT